GAGCCCGAGCCCCCGCGCCCGCCGGGTTCGCGCGAGACAGGAGGGAGGAGAAACTTTGCCTTTTATTGTTGTGTTTAGTCCTTAAGTGCAAGGAACTCTGTTGGGAGAAAGAATGTCCTTCTTCAATTTCCGTAAGATCTTCAAGTTGGGGAGCGAGAGGAAGAAAAAGCAGTACGAACATGTGAAGAGGGACCTGAACCCCGAGGAGTTTTGGGAAATTATAGGCGAGTTGGGCGACGGAGCCTTTGGGAAAGTGTACAAGGTAAGAGGGAGGGAACGGGAAGTTGTACTTGGTGGATGAAACAGCCACTGGTCCGCAGTGGCTCGAGAGCTTCTCGCTTACCTTATCCCTTTCCTGTTTCTTGCCACTTCATTTGACTTTGTAAACGTGCTTTGGAAGTGTATCTAGGTTATTATCCAAGGGGTAGCCTAGACAGTAGAGTTTAAGGTTGAACAAAATGGGGTCTGGATGTACTTTCAAGAGTGGTTGCTAAAGGGAGGCAAGGTTATGCAGTCTACTTTGTCAAACTTTAAAAGAAGCGAGGGCGTTCTTTTAATTAAAGAGGGATCTGAGTTGTGTCCCTCAAATAATTTAACATCTGAAACTCATTATACTTTTCAGTGGATTTTGTAATGTTCGTTTACTGTTTGCATTCATATGCATGCTTATGCTAAAATAATTCCCTTTTTTTAGGGTCCAGGCCATATATTTGGTTGTGTCTATAGCTGATACGGAGCCCTGGTGGCGCAGTGGTTAAAAGCTCGCCTGCTAACCAAAAGTCTGGCAGTTCAAATCCACCAGCCGCTGCTTGGAAACCCTATGGGCAGTTCTACTCTGTCCTATAGGGTAGCTGTGAGTCGGAATCGACTCGAAGGCAACGGGTATAGCTGATGTCATTCCGGCTTTCTTTTCGGATGAGAGCAAAATGATTTACTGGCAGACTGTTCTTGAGTTGGTTGCTTGACATCATACTCTAATGGAATGGAATTTCTGATAGAAAATTTCCAGAAAAAAATCTGCATCTGGTACTAGTTTCTTAATAAGCTTTGACTGGAAGTCAGTGCTGATGCATAAGAAATGAAACACACACACACATTTATACGTATTTATTTTAATAAAAAGATGTTTGGGGTTTCAACCTGAAGTCATTAATGTTAACTATTTACTGTCTTCTGAGGAGCAGAGGAATGATGTCATCGGAATATTTTCATCCTGAAAGGGTGAGATTTTTAATGAGACACAGTTTAGGGGAAAAGGCCTATAGGGGTTGTCTAGAAGAAAAACATAAATAAATAACTTGTGTTTATCCAGAACGTTGCAGTTTTTGAAGCACTTTCACCTAATTGGGCCCTCACAAAAATCCTGTGAGGTGGGCAGGTCAATAGTAGTGTCTACATTTCATGGAGGAGGAGGGCACTGAGACTCAAACTGTTCAGTCGTACACCAGTCAGAGCCTGGATTGGAAATCAGGTCTTCTGACCCTGTGTTTTTTTTTTTTTTTAAATTTTGATGTCCATAGGTAGAAATAATAACATTTCCCTTGCTTTCAAAGCACTGTCAAACTTGTTTTTGCCTTTGCCTTGCCTAAAATGCATCTTCTCATACCCTAGTCTTTCACATTCTTCAAAGCTGCACTTACCTGTCATCTCTGATTTATCCAGGCAGGCGTATCCACTGCTGTGTACTTTCCAAACACATTGTTCATGTGGCTAGTATAGCACTTGTTGTATATTGTAGTTAGCGTGTGTATGTTTCTGTAGTAAGACCTGAGTCTACAGCACAGTGATGAGTGTTTGGCCACATCTACTGCCTTAGCACGTTGTGCATCTCTGTATATTTATTGAAATGAAAGAATGTGTTTATTATTGTTACACGTAAATGTTATTGAAGCCATTGTATGCTTGAAAAGTTGGCAAAGTAAACTAGTATTTGTGTGGAGGATAGAATGATATGTTTCAGCAAGCGCTTACCATATAGCTGTATGGTAGGAATACACTTTGAATGTAGTGGGAAGATTACTCCTGGGAGCCAAGCCTTGAATACACTTTGAATGTAGTGGGAAGATTACTCCTGGGAGCCAAGCCTTGTGTTTTAGCCCTGGCTGTCACAAACCAGCTTTGTGACCTTGGACAAAACACTTAACTTCTCTGGACTCAGTTTTCTTAGCTGTAAAATAATAGATTTCCCTAAATGTTTGTTTAGATTCCTTCACCCTTTAACATTCTATGAGTAAACAATTAACTAAACCCATGGCCATCGAGTTGATTCTGACTCATAGCGACCCTATAGGACAGAGTAGAACTGCCCCATAGGGTTTCCAAAGCTGTAATATTTATGGAAGTAGACTGCCACAGCTAGCAAAGGCAAAAATAATCCTTAAGGCATCTGGAATCTTGTAGTTAAAAGGAGGTAGGCTATTACGGGCAGTTTTTATGGTGTAAATATGTTGTTTTGTGGACTAAACCCACTGCTGTTGAGTTGATTCCAACCCATAGCAACCCTATAGGAAGGGGTAGAACTGCCCCATAGGGTTTCCAAGGCTCCAGTCTTTACAGAAGCAGACTGTCACATCTTTTTCCCATGGAGCGCCTGGTGGGCTAGAACGGCTGACCTTTCAAATAGCAGCCGAGCGCTTTAACCACTTCGCCACTAGGGCTCCCTTTAAGGACTAGAAACTGTAATATTAAGAACACTGGAACGGGCTTCTGAACACATCTTGACTCCTTCACTTACTAGCAGCGTGTGACATGTGGCAGGTTACTTATTCAGTGCTTCACTTTCCTCATCAGTAAAACCTACTCCTCAGTTGTGTGAGGATTAGAGGAGATAATAAATATAAGGTATGTAGAAAGGGCTCAGTAAATGACAGCAATCATTGTAATTGTATTTAGAGCTCATAGAAGAAAGATATTGGATGGATAAGAAAAAGGGACTGGGAATATAGTAAACTTTTTTTTGTTTCCCATGGCAGAGGCAGATTGTGTGGCCATATTAATGCTCTGTAGTTTAATTGTTTAGTGACTCTCTAAAAATTGTAAGGTATCTTCCTATAATGAGACATCAATTGAAAATTTACTGAAAAATAAGAGACTCCACGTTGTTGAGCACTGTAAAATTGTGTCAAGGTTAGTTTCTGTGGACTTGATGACTCTGTTTTAGTGTGATATTTGAAGAGCGTGGGTTCTTTGACTCTTTGCTTTATCATTTCACTACCCCATGCTTCCAATGAACAGGCTAAGAGATTTTTTTTAAAAAATTTAAATTTATTATTGACCTGTCTTGCCTCTTTTTCCTAAAAGTTTGTTTTTCAATAAATTTATAAAACTTTCTTCTACATGGAAAAAAAGCTGTCAAAAGTTAACATTGTATATAGTGGTATGCAATAGAAAACTTTCCAAACTTGAGTCTTAACTATCATTTACTTATGGAAATTAATAACTGTTACAAAGATTAAATTAAAAATAGGCAATCATTGTATGTTTAGTTCATTTGAAACATTTTTTCATCATGCAGTTGTGTTCTTTCCACTCAGTCCAATACTGCACAACTCTGTAATGTAACAAAGTTACTTTCTTGCTTGATAAACCTTCACTGTTTCAAATTTATTTTCTCCTTTTAATATAGTATATATCTGGGGCCCTGGTGGCACAGCAGTTAAGAGCTCAGACTGCTAACCAAGAGGTTGGCCGTTCGAATCCACCAGCTGCTCTTTGGAAACCCTATAGGACAGTTGTACTCTGTCATATAGCGTCACTGTGAGTTGGCATTGACTCGATGGCTACGGGTTTGGTTTTGGTTTCTGGTTTATCTGACATGTAAATAAAGGTATATAATATCCCTTACAGGTTTTTATCTTTGGATTTCTATTGCTTTTAACAGGAAAAAAAGGAAAATGACATGAAATTGCGTATGAATTGCGTTTTTAGAAAGCTGTTTTGTATAGTAAACTAATTGAAGCTGAACTCCTGGCTGTGTGATGGATGAAAGTGATTCTTTTTATGACAACCAATGGGTGTGACAACTTTTTTTTCCTATAGTGTGTCATCTAATCTTTGTATTGAAAAGTACAAAAAACATATATATATATATACATATATATATACATTTAACAGATAATAATAAAGTGAACTCAGATTAACAACCCTCTAGGTCAAGAAATTCTGCCAGCACCCCAGAATTCCTTCCTCCTCCTTTCTGAATCAATTCCTTCTCTCACCCTGAAGGAAGCTACTTTCTTGTCTTATTTATTTATTCTTTGCCTTTCTTTACAGTTTACCATCTAGTTGTGTATCCCTAAACATTATAAATTTAGTTTGTATGCCCCTGAACTGTGGATGAATGGAATCACGTTGAGTGTACTCTTTTGTGTCTTGCCTCTTTCAAAATCAGCTTTATGTTCATGAGGTTCATCTTTATCACCTATAGCTGTAGTTAGTTCATTATCATAGTTGCATAGTATCCCAATATATGATTATATCACCACTTATTTACCATTGTATTGTTGGTGGACTAATTGTTTCCAGAGTTTGCTGTTACATACAGTGCTGGTGCACATGTGCATGAATTTCTCTAAGACTTAATCCAGGAGTGGAACTGTTGGGTTATGAGGTATATCTATCTTTAATTTTACTAGATGATGCCAAACTAATTATACCAATTTATACTCCCACCTGCAGTATATGAGACTTTCCCTTGCTCTGTATCCTGCCAACGTTTGGTATTATCAGAATTTTTCATGTTTTTTTTTGTAATTTGGATTTCTGTTGTGTTAAGTCTATTGTCCATTTTTCTTTCAAATGCTTTTTTTCTTACTTGTGGAGTATATGTGTACATATTCTGGTTCTGGTTATTGCAAATATATCCTCTCATTCTGAGGCTTGTTTCTTTATGATGTCTTCTTTTTTTTTTTTTAATTTTATTGTGGTGAAAGTATACATAACAAGACATGCACCATCTCAGCAATTTCTACATGTATAATGCAGTGGCATTGATTACATTCTTCATGTTGTGCAGCCATTCTTTCTGTCCTTTTCCAAACCATTCCACTACCATTAACATAAACTCAAGCAAAAACTCCCTGCTTTCCCCTCCCTCTCACCCCTAGTAACCACTAATAATCTTTGGTTTCTATATATTTGCTTATTTCATATAAATGAGATAATATATTATTCATCCGTTTGTGACTGACTTATTTCACTCAGCAAGATGTTTTCAGTTTTTCATGGTTTATCTATGTTGTGACATGCGCATCAGGACTTCAT